ATCGGTGACTGCTATGAAAAAACTAAAAATGCAAAAACTCTTGTATTATGTTAGGTTACTTATGGTTATGGTTAGGGCAGGGTAGGGGTTAAGGCTGTCATAGTTAGCGTTAGCATTTTTCCCATCGAAATGAATGAGCGGTCTCCATAAGGATATGTTTACCCTATACATGTGTGTGTGTGTGTGTGTGTGTGTGTGTGTAACAGAACACAATCATACTCGGAAATTACAGCAGACCATTTTTAAACGAATGTTCTACATCATATTAATTTCAATTACATTAATCATACTGAGAAAGACCAATTATTTCTGTGGGAACATACCTCACTCCACCAGCTGCCCTGATCTACAGATCAGCAGTGGCAAATGCTGGTATCCTGGTAAGGGCAGTGTGGAAAGTTGCCCATTGCCAGAGGTGGAAAGTTCAGGTTCAGAAAGTAGAAATCCAGACCAGGATTTTGTTTCAATCAACCAGTTGAGTACTCTGTGACTGTGACTCTTTATATTCAGCTGGTTGGTTGAAACAAAACCCTGGTCTGCATTTGTACTTTCTGAACCTGAACTTTCCACCTCTGGCCACCTCCTCGATAAATTTTAACATGGCCACCCTTACCCCTCTCCACCCCCGCAGTGATCAAGCTTGGCAGGGGAGTTTTCCTAGGGCATCACCTGGGCTTTGACAGCTACTGTACAGAAGGGATCCACATCTTCTGACCTGGTCAAGACGAGCTGAGATAAAGGTACGGTGGATTCAGTCTTTCACACCCAGTTACCAGTTTATTGTGCTCCATGAGGTCAGATTAAAATGACAGTTAACTGTCATGGAACTGATCTTAGTCATGGATGACACAATCAAACAGAATAAACACAAATGACCACAAAACAGCACAAGGAGGCAAATTCAGCAAATCCACCACCCCCAGACTCCCTCTCTGCCCAGATCTCTAAGCTTGGCTAACTGATAAGGTGGGGATACATGAATGCCTAGGTGGCCCTGTCTTGCAGTTGAATGACCCTGATATCTCCTCAGAAAGCTTCACATTGTTCCTTGGTGCTTCCAGCAGAAACATCATGTCTGGCTGGCACACTTTGTTTATGCAGGACTGTATCTTCTGCTGTCGACCCCCTCCTCTGCAACCCGCTCAAGTACGAATAAAGGAGAGACAAAACATGGCCTGTCAGAGGGATGCAGATGCCCTGATCTCCTGTAAGGTTTTCTGAAATCCTGCATTATGCAGCTTTGATGTTTATGCTCCAGATTCCCAGGAGAATTAGGACAGACTAATGACATCTCCCATGCTGACTGTCAGAACTGCCCCTAAGATGATCCTTTTGACTGCTGGATGTCACTCAATCTCAGGATAGACTTGAGTAACAGCTTGTCAGAAAGATCGCCCTGGATTCAAGTCATCTAGCATTGTGTTTATATTCAAGACGGTCTAACTGGTTCGGAGGTCAAAAAAACAATTTTTACTATCTTGTAGCAATACTAAATCTGAGAGAAAATTGTCTGCGCTGAGATATACCTGTATAAGGCGATATATCAGTATGCTGTCCTGGATAATTAAGAATAAGCATGCTTGTTATGTTTTTTAATTGAATTCTCCTGTTATCATTTGAAACTGTCACAGCCCTGTAATGAAAAATACTGAGCAGCTCATTACTTACTATGACCAGCTCATGAGGGAGAAATTATTGCAAGGTCACCAGACATCAATGATGTGAAAAAGCAGCATAGTTCTTCATACAATGGATTGCCAGCGTCCTTCCTCTTCTGATGGCAAGACACTTAGTTACGTTGTTACTGCTTGATTCTGATGTTACTGATTGAGTTGAATTCCCCTATGGTAAAGGTCCATTTTTGGGAATCCCCATAAATCTGATGGCCTTCCTTGCATTCAGCTCTGAGATCTAGATATGAAGTGGATTTTTCTGTTGCCATTTCTGTCTGCATTACAGTATTCACTGGTTGGGGGACGACGCTGGAAACAGAAACGAACCAAGATGACGAGAAAGGGCTCTCCAGATACAAATACGAAAGGGCCAAGTTTTGTCACGCTGGTTACACTGAGCAACTGAAAAATGTTATTTATTTGGAACTTCACATATATTCTTTTTAAATTTGATCATGATTGCTGTTTTTAAACATTATGCCCCTAGACACTAGAAGGCAATACTAATGCATTCTGCAGAATGGCAGATTCAACACATCTAATCAACACATTAGATGGGTGTAGCAGTCTGACACAGCATAAGAAGAGTGCAAAAGCAGTGGCATTACTGTATAATGTCTGTGTTTCTAATGTTATACTGTTCCCCTAATTGCATTGTCATCTTACAAATTTGAGAATTTACTGGGTTGATCAATATAGCTTGTTCAGCTATTCTATTCTGTCGTCTCCGGATATGATACTATTTTCGTCTTGGGTTTTACTGCAAGTTGTGTCCTCCATATTTATGTGGGTAAACATTTAACAAAAACATCCCAGGAACAAACATGAGAATCATATACTGTATGATTTTTCTTTGATTATCTAGGCTAAATACGTTTACGATTATCAGATGCCTCAGTGTTTGCTCTTAAAATTTAACATAACTTGACATAGAATATGTGCAACGGAAGGGATGAGGACAAATGTTCAAAGGAGCAATAAATTGTTATTTGGTGCGATTAGGATTCGGTTTTTCATGCCATGGGACATTTTTCTTGCCAGACATTGTGACATTCTTATTACTTATTATTTGACATTGAAGTTCTTATGTGTGTGAATTGGTGAATTTATCAATGAGGATATTTCAACATGAACACTGAAATTGCATCTTCACCTATTCAAATTGAACCTCTCAAGCATTTTAGAGTTCACTTTTAGTAGAATATTTTGACAATAGTTGTCAGAATTACACTTTCATTTCATAGCAGGTAACCTTAATGCGCCTTGAAACCTCTTAGGGATAGAGCTATGGAAATGTTCAGAAGCTTCCATGAGATGGTTGAAATATCACAGAGATGTCTGTGACACGGAAAACAGACGAGAGCATGGACAGTCCTGTAAAAATCTGCTCAGAGATGAAATGTGATTCACTGAAACATCGCACATATTCATTTTATTTTTGACAAAAGCTAGCTTTGTTGGAGTCAGCCCTCTTCACTGAAAATTCCACACACCTCGTTCAAAATGAGCTCTCCACAAACATAGCTGTTTAAATAAATGGCAAGCGACTGGCTGCAAAGTCTACCAACTATTTAATGCTAATTTAAATACTTGTTTTTAAAAACATCCGTTCACCAAGCGTGTGGTTCTTTCGAGTTCATTGAGTTTTGATCTTGCTGTGTGTCTGCTTTTCTCTTGTAGGACATGCAGTGGAGAAAACAAGATTTGCAACATTACAGCACAGTAAAAGTTTTTATAATCAATTATTTAATAACACATTTTTTATGCATGTTGCTCTCATCCATTTTTAAATTGGTGATTATGCACTGCCTCCCTTTTCTAATAAGCTGAACCTTCGAGTTCCACCACAAGTTAGGTAAGACTAGTTAAAGGTTTAGATGATAGACTAAATCTCGTAACTGACTTAACAATTTTCTCAGGTGAAGCTGTATGTCAGAATGGCGTTTGATACGTAGTCAACCTTTAAAGAATAATTTCTTTCATTGGTGATGGCCTCCAAGCAGACACAATTATCTCCTGATTAATTTTGTGCGTAGAAGAAAACTTGGGCCAATGTCATTATGTAATTTAATTGGAACAATCATGAACCAACTTCCGTTGTATTATTCATATGGAGAAGATGCAGACACTGAACAAAATTGCCAACAAAAGTCATTAAATGTTACAACGCTGTCATCGTTCTTGGGCAAATTTACACCAGTCAGGAACACACCCCAGAGGTGTGTGAGCATGTCAAACTCCACTCAACTGTCTGTTCAAAGATTTTACTGGGTCTTTTTCATATCTGGGTCCTTGCTGTTTTCAGAAATAACATATGTAATGCATCAAATGCAAAACGCCAGCCTAACCTCAATTTCACCACGGCTGGTTTCCATTTCAATGGTTCTCAAGCAAGAGGAAATCACCTTGGGAAATAATGAGATGAGAACCCAGAGAAGGGCTTGTCACGTTTCGCCCGAGATCGCCTGAAAATCCTCTCACAGCCTCGCTTACAAGTCATCACTGTTTAAAAGGTATCTGTTCGACGAAGATGCGATTGTCGCCTTAAACCATAGCACAGTGATTATTAAACAGGCCCTCGGCTGAAAATCGGAGAGCAATTAGAGAGATGGGCAGGAACGGAACCTGGCAAATTCCGTTTAGCTGAGGTAAATATGTTCGGTGGCTGTCTCCAAGCGTTGCTGAAATGTTGTCTAGGGAGCAGTCATATGAGACCAAACCAACCCCTCACATTCACCACAGATTTTCATTTGTTTACAAACAGAGGTGCATTTTTCACAATTTCAAGATGGCAGAAAAAGGGCTGCATTGTTAGAGGATTTTGTTGCGAAACATGGTGCCAGACCACAGAATGTGCTCATTAAATATGCTGCAAAGAAGGGGAATATGGCAAAAGTGGCCCAGAGCAAACTGGTTGCCATTAATTAGGGTTCCAGATCTCTCACTCTGATTCATTTAAATTAATTAAGTAATTCAGCACTCTGAATCAATGTACTGGGCATTATGCATGAAGGTATAGGCTAATGTCAAATACTTATGTAGCCAGGCCAGAGAGAGCTGCAGGGAGCTGTATGAGTGATCAGTGAACTGTAAGCTCACAACTGTATGAGACAAACTGGAGATTGTTAAATGATATATTCTTCAGTCATCCTTTATTAAAATAGCAGTCTCACATACTCAAGTGAAATAAAGGTTTTCTGTTCAAAACATGATTTCTCACATTCCACTTCTTTCCCAAGAGGAATGTACTGTTAAGATCATACAGTACCATCACACACTATTAACTTTATTTAAAATGTTACATTTATGGTATAGCAGTCAAATGTACATTATCTAATATTTAAATGAAAAGGTAGAAACAATTTGTAAACTGTCAAACCAAGGCTCCCTCGGAAGCTGGTACTCTTGGTGGCCACCTCTGTCACCCATAGGATTTTATATATGAGTATTTTATCACTTGTCAATACCTTCTTTCCTCGTTGTCCTCATCTTGTTTTGATCCCTCGCGATCCTGTTTCTTTTCACTCCCTGTCTTGCTTCATTTTATTTCCATTAAACCCCTTTTGGTTTGTCCAAAATGCCTGTCATCGAGTCTTCCTCCCTCATATTGTGACAGGATGACCGGACTCCCACAAACCTATATTTCCAATCCGGCTTCAATGCCTTCCTGCACCCGGTGGACCGGATACCCCGGGTGCCTCGGATCCTGGGACCAAAGGAGTTATCAACACTGAGGGTACCACCCCACCTCCAAACAGAGGACTTCATCTCCCTTCTCAAGGTCCATCAGGAGAGGAGGACTAACCCTGCAGCCTGGAGGATCCCCAAGGGCGTAGTTTTCTTCCAGTCTGGGGGAGATGTTAACGAGACTCTCCCTGGACCTTGATCTCCAGGAGGCAGGGAAGGGTTGGCGCTTGCTGGCGCAAGTGTGAGGAATAGTTGAGCATGAGGCTGGTCAGTATGGCGCTTCTCCAGAGCCCGCTGTGGTCCCACTGCATGCCACTTCTCCAGAGCCCTACGTCTGCCCATGAGGTGAAGTCATCCTGCCAGTTGGCTCCTTGCAGCTCAGCTCTGTTTAACCCATTAGCTCCTCACGGCTTGCCATTGATGCACCTGCTGGCCTCCCGCAGTTCCCCGCAGATCTACCCATAGCCTCCTCGCGGCTCTCCGTATCCCCTCCTGCTGTTACCCATCACAGGAGAGAGAAGCAGAGGAAGTTAGCGGTGCCCGTAGCTGTCCCTCCAGAGTCCTGCCCAGGAGAGGTTGCCACCATACCTCCAGAGCCCGACCCTGGTGAGACCATCCCCATGCTCCCAGAGCCCATCTTGACCTCTGCTGTGCCCCCAGAGCCCATCTTGACCTCTGCTGTGCCCCCAGAACCCACCTTCACCTCTGCTGTGCCCCCAGAGCCTGTTTTCACCTCTGCTGTGCCCACAGAGCCCGTCTAGACCTCTGCTGTACCCCCAGAGCCCATCTTGACCTCTGCTGTGCCCCCAGAGCCCGTCTACACCTCTCCTGTGCCCCCAGATCCTGTTTTCACCTCTGCTGTGCCCCCAGAGCTTGTTTTCACCTCTGCTGTGCCCCCAGATCCTGTTTTCACCTCTGCTGTGCCCCCAGAGCCTGTTTTCACCTCTGCTTTGCCCCCAGAGCCTGTTTTCACCTCTGCTGTGCCCCCAGAGCCTGCNCCCCCAGATCCTGTTTTCACCTCTGCTGTGCCTCCAGAGCCTGTTTTCACCTCTGCTGTGCCCCAGAGCTTGTTTTCACCTCTGCTGTGCCCCCAGATCCTGTTTTCACCTCTGCTGTGCCCCCGGAGCCTGTTTTCACCTCTGCTTTGCCCCCAGAGCCTTTTTTCACCTCTGCTGTGCCCCCAGAGCCTGTTTTCACCTCTGCTGTGCCCCCGGAGCCTGTTTTCACCTCTGCTGTGCCCCCAGAGCCTGTTTTCACCTCTGCTGTGCCCCCGGAGCCTGTTTTCACCTCTGCTTTGCCCCCAGAGCCTGTTTTCACCTCTGCTGTGCCCCCAGAGCCTGTTTTCACCTCTGCTGTGCCCCCAGAGC